GTACCCACCAACCTACCGATTCTTGATTCGAAGAATTATGACAAGTGGTCTAAACAAATGAAAGTTCTATTTGGGTATCAAGAAATTCTTGAAGTGATCAACAATGGAGTTACGCCACTTGGGACAGAAGCTACAGATGCTCAGAAGGCTATATTCAAGAAAAAGAAGAAAAAGGATTACAAGGCACCCTTCTTGATTCATTCTTGTGTCGATGGTGACAACTTCGAAAAATTGGCGATTGCGATTCGGCAAAGTAAGCTTGGGAGATCTTGGAAAAAGCTTATGCAAGGGCTAACAAAGCCAAGGTGGTGAGGTTACAAACTCACAAATGTCAATTCGAATTACTTCGAATGGAGGAGAAGGAGAGGATAAGTGATTATGTTACAAGAATTACTCGTATGGTAAACCAAATTAAGTCATGCGGAGAAACTACAACGCAGCAGAATGTTGTTTTAAAGATTTTGCGTTCGTTAACACCAAGATTTGACAACATTGTAGTGGCGATTGAGGAATCGAAGGACTTTGCGATGATGAGCAAAGAGGAGTTACAAAGCTCTCTCGAGACTCATGAGTAACGGATGGATGAGAGGAATAGCGACAAGGAAAAGGCAGAGATTGCTTTGTAAGCTCGGTTCAACGAGAAGAGTAAAAGATTGAAAGGAAAATGGGCTTCGAGAGGGAAGCAAAATTTCCAGAATTCTGGTGAAAAAGATCCAAAAAATTCGAAGGTTTCGATGGGAAAAAGGGTGAGAGCAGTTGTAATAGATATGGTGATCAAATCAATGGTAGAGGCAAAAAACCAAAGGTTGACAAGAGTAAAATTCAGTGTTGAAATTGTCAAAAACTTGAACATTTCTCAAGGGAATATAGTGCAAAACAGAGAGATTTCCAAGGAGGTGAAACTAAGGTTACGAGGGAAGAGGTATACAAAAAGAATATGCTCTTAGTGATGATCACATAAGGAGATTGTAGCAGTGGCAGATGTGCTGAAAATTCTGCAGAAAATTGCAGCAGAGTTGCTGAAAATTATGTGGAAAAGTGCGAAAACGATAGCGTTATGGTTACGATGCGAGATGGAATCCAATACAATGAAGAGTGGTACTTGGATTCAGATCTTTCTACGCATATGACAAGTAGGAAGGATTGGTTTGTGCAAATTAATCAAGCCGCGAAAAGTAGAGCAAAATTTACAGATGATACCGCTCTTGCGGCCGAAGGTGTTAGGGATGTTTTGATAAGAAAGAAAAATGGTGGATATTCTATGATCAAAGATGTCTTGTACATTCCGAGAATTAAATGTAACCTCTTGAGTATTGGCCAATTTCTTTAAAAAGGTTTCAAATTTGCATGGAAGACAAGGTTTTGCGCGTTGCGGATGCAAACGATGTTTTGATCCTTAAGGCTTCTATGGCTGCAAATAGAATTTTCAAGGTGGATCTGAAAGTTATGGAGCATATGTTTTTATCTACAGCGGCAAGTAGAGAAGAATGGTTATGGCACTCCCGTCTTAGGCATCTCAATTTTCGAGATCTCAAAGCGTTGCAACAAAACAGTATGGTTACCGGGCTGCCACACATCAACATTCTAGCTTAGTTGTGTGAAGAATGTGTGAAAGTAAATCAACACAAGGCTAGTTTTAGCAAGGATGCATGTCATATGATCAAGAATCATCTTGAGGTGGTGTATTTCGATGTATGTGGCCCGGTGCAAGTTGACACGTTGGGTGGCAATAGATACTTTGTCACTTTTATCGATGATTTTAGTAGAAAGCTATTAACTTACCTTATCAAGAGGAAGGATGAGGTGCTTGGTGTGTTCAAGAAGTTTAAATCCATGGTGGAGCGACAATGTGGTCAAAAACTCAAAGTGCTCAAAACGAACGATGGAGGTGAATACGCTTTGAATGACTTTGGGAAGTTTTGTGACCAAAAGGAGATAATGCATGAGGTGGTGCCACCCTATACACCACAACAAAATGGTGCTTTTGAGAGAAATAATCGATTAATTATAAACATGGTTCGAAGCATGTTGAGTGGAAAGAACTTGCCGAATGAGCTATGGGGATAAGAGGTTTCTACAACCACCTATTTGTTGAATAGGTGCCCTACTTAGAAGCTTGAGAAGCTGACACTGGAAGAGGTATGGTTAGGATTTAAACTGAATCTAATCCATTTGACAGTTTTCGTTTTGGTGGCGTATCGACATGTGCCAGGTCAACTTAGAAAGAAGTAGGACGAAAAGGGTGAGGAAATGGTATTGGTTGGATTCATTACACTGGTGGATATAAGCTGTTTGATGCACGAAATCGAAAAATAGTGATCATCCACGTTGTGTTTTTTGATGAAATAAGATATGCAGTCCCTAGTATAGTCAGTTACACTCAGCCAATTTGTTCTGGTGTAACCGATTACGTGTAGGAAAAATAACCTCCCAGGTTTGTTTTTTCTGATCTAGTCAGTTCTGAAACAGTCGAGCAACCACCGATCGAGGATCGAAACAAAGAGAATGTCAGACGATCAGCAAGGAAAATGGTGTTGCCTAAAAGACTCCAAGAATGTGAGATATTCTGAGACAACAAAATCAATGATGATGGTGATTTCATTCACTTTATGCTTATGGATGAATCCAAACCGGTGAACTTCAGAAGAGGCTCTAAGCGATCTAAAGTGCATTTGTGCAATGAAGGGGGAGATGAAATCTATTGAAAAAAATGGTACTTGGGAATTGGTTGATTTACCGCTTGGAAAGAATCCAATTGGTGTTCGATGGGTCTATAAAGTGAAGGAAAATCCCAAAGGCGAGGTTATCAAGCATAAGGCTCGATTGGTAGCAAATGAATTTTTGCAACGTGAAGATATAGACTTTGAGGAGGTGTTTGCACCTGTGGCTAGACTAGAAACTATCCGATTAGTTGTTGGCATTGCGAATAACAACAATTGGGGGATATATCAAATAGACGTCAAATATACTTTTTTTAACGGTCCACTTGAGAGGAGGTTTATGTTGAGCAGCCACCAAGATTTGTAGTAAAGAATCAAGAGTCGGAGTTCTATAAATTGCATAAAGCATTATATTGTTTAAAACAAGCTCTAAGAGCTTGGAACAAACACATTAATGGCTTTCTAATTGATATTTATTTTAAGCGGTGTGTGTATGAATACGGAGTGTATGTGAAAATGAATGCGAATGATGGCGTGATCATTCTTTGCTTGTATATTGATGATCTATTGATTACAGACAGCTTTGAGAAGAGTATCTCTATGTTCAAGAGTGAACTTATGGATGAATTTGAGATGGCGGGCCTTGGTATCATGACATATTTTCTTGGCATAGAGTTCCACAAGTCAAAAATCATACTTCTCATGCACCAAAGGATATATGCTCTTGAGATTTTGAAGAGGTGTGAAATGGAGCATTGCAATGCTTCCATTACACCATGTGAAGCAAGGTTGCAGCTGTTCAAGAGTGAGGATAAACAAAATGTGGATCCAACGCAATATAAGAGATTGATTATATCATTGCGGCATTTGTGTGATACGCGACCGAACTTGGCATTTAGTGTCAATATTGATAGTAGATTCATGGAGAGGCTGAATGTGTCTCACTTGGTAGCGGTCAAGAGGATCCTTAGATACGTTAAAGGAACCATTGGCTGCAGAATTCTCTTTCCTGCAACTGATACGGGACGAAAATGCAATTTACTTGGTTTCACTCATTCCAATTGGTGTGGAGATAAGGATGATAGAAATTCGAAGGCTGAATACATATTTATGTTCGACAGGACACCAATCTCTTGGTGTTCGAAGAAGGAACCAGTGGTAGCACTCTCGTCTTGTGAGGCCGAGTATATTGTGACATCATTATGTGCATGTCAAGCTATGTGGCTCATGAATCTGTTGAAGGAGTTGAGTAACAATGAGGGCGAGGTTATCACACTTCTTGTTGATAATGTTTTTGCGATAAACCTTACGAAGAATCCGATTGTACACGAAAGAAGCAAGCATATCGAGATGCAGTTTCATTATTTGAGGGAGCTAAAGAGTGAAGGCAAGCTAAGATTGGAATATTGTCGAAGCGAAGACCAAGTGACGGATTTAATGACTAAGGGAGTAACAAATGAAGTGTTCAGGAGATTGAAGATGAACTTGAGCATGGTGGACTTGGACCAACTAAAATGAGGTGGTGTATAAACTAATTTTCTGGCATTTCAGTTGGTGTAACCGGCTACCGGATATGTGGTAACCGGTTACTCACTGTTAAAAACAGAAGCTGTGTTTTTTAGGATTGAGTGTAACCGGTTACTCCAAATGTGGTAACCGGTTACATTGGACATTTTTTTATTTTTTAAGTTATTTTGTATTTTCCAAATCATTTTGTATAACTAGTCTTTAATACTCTCATCTATGATATTAATGTCAATTATAATTCTCACCCTCAATATCACTCTCTATTATTTCTTTCTCAATTTCAAATTCCTAAATTATTTATTCCACCATTCTTAACCCAATCAAATTATTCTTTTTTCCAATCGTCTCTCAATTTAATTTTGATACCAAACATGTATCACTCACATTCGTATAACTTCCTTAATCAATAATTAAAGAGTATATCTTCCATTTACTAAACATCTTGTGTGAAAATAACTTCTCTTTGAGTTATGGCCTTCTCCTAAACTTGATTTGATAAAAATATTGTCATAATGAGAAACTTTCCACTAACTATTTCTTTTTCTCATCTTCAAACATCTCCTGATGTGTATCATTTTTCTCTTCTTCAATTGTTTCATTATCCACCGTGAAAAATAACACAAACCATGAAAAATAATCACAATTTTCACAACGAAATGGTTGAAATGGATGGAGTACTTAGTGTTTACAAGTTCTTTGTCCATCTTGGTTAATGGCAGTCTCACTTCGGAGTTTTAAGTGAGTCGAAGATTGCGTCAGGGAGATCCTCTCTCACCCTTTCTTTTTATTTTGGCAACAGAAGGTCTCGCAGGTATGATGCGAAAAACGATGTTGTCAGGGAATTACAAACGTTTCTCTTTGAACGACGCTCTTCATTTCGATATGCTTCAATTTATGGATGATACCGTTATGTTATGCAACTGGTCATGTGGATAACCTATGGAGTATAAAATGAATCCTTCGATGTTTTGAATCTATTTCTGGGCTGACTGTTAACTTTTCAAAATCAATAATTTTTAGATTCAACCTTTCAGACGACTTTATGCAGGCAACAACAACTTTTATGGCGTGTGAGATTGGGTATTGCTCCGTCCAAATTCCTTAGAGTGGTTATGGGAACTAGTTCTAAGAGGCTTACTTATTGGATTCCATTATTGGACAAGCTTCGAAAGAAGCTTTCAGTGTGGAATGGGAAACACATTTCATTAGGCGGTAGAATTGTTCTGCTCAATTTGGTGTTGGCAAACCTTCCTATTTATCCTTTCTCATTCTTCAAAGCTCCTAAGAGTATCATCACGCAAATAATAAGAATTCAAAGAGAGTGTCTTTGGGGTGAAGGTGAAGACCGTCGAAAATTGTGTTGGATTAGCTGGGCGAATTTGTGTAGGAGCAAATCAATTGGAGGTCTCGACATTAAACAATGTGGTCTGTTTAATCGAGTGTTATTGAGAAAATGATTATGGAGGATCCTTGAAGGGCCAAATTCAGTTTGGTTTGATTTGCTAAGTTTTAGGAATTGGTTTTCAAAATCTATTCGTTGTAAACTTGGTAATGGTGCGGATTTAAGTTTTTGGACTTCCACATGGGTTCGGATCCGACCTCTGTGCAATATTTTTCGGCATGCGTATGATAATTGTGTGAGTCGTACGATAAAAGTAGCGGATATGGGAGGTTGTATCCAAGGAGTTTGGTGCTGGAATTTTGGGACAGTAGTGCTGGAAATTCACCTCACACCCTATGAAGAATTCCCTTCAATCTTGATCTCAAGATTGATGAACAAACCCACAATATGATAATGATGGTAATAACAAGTAATTATCAAGAACAACAAAAGAGAAGAAGAATAACAAACAAGAAAGAGAAGAATGAGAGAAGAAGTATTTGGAGAGAATGTGTTACCCACAACTGTGGGATTTCTTATTGAACTTTCACTTGCTAACTGCAACTGTGAAATCTGTTCTGTTGTGATGTAGAATACAAAGCAAGGCACCCTATTTATAGTTTTAGGTTTACACTAGCCCAAAACATAAAAGGCCCAAAATATTCTAAATCAAATCTAATCATATGATATCAAATCTAATCATATGATATCTAATCATATCATATCAAATTAATCATATGATATCAAATCTAATCATATGATATCAAATCTAATCATATCAAATCACAATGAATTATATTTAACACACCACCTAATTCATTGTGTCTAAACTGTTTACATTTATCATGGCCCTTAGTCTTCTGAAGGCTTTGACCTGCACTCCCTTCGTCATGATATCTGCAATCTGATTCTCAGTTCTGCAGTGTTCCAACTTCATCTTCCCTTCTACTACCCGCTCTCGGAGATAATGGAACCTCATTTCGATGTGCTTGCTTCGACCATGAGCTATTGGATTCTTTGCCAAGTTGATAGCTGACATGTTGTCTATCTTCATGGTAATTGATCCATGTTTCTTCCCTGTGATTTCTTCGACCAAGTTCACCATCCAAGTTGCTTGACATACACAAAGGGAAGCAGCTATATATTCTGCTTCGCATGATGATAATGCCACCACTGGTTCCTTTCTCGAATTCCAAGCAACTGGTGCACCACCTAACATAAACACATATCCAGCTGTGGATTTTCGATCCTCAGCATCACTACACCAACTGGAGTCTGTGTATCCCACTAACTTGCATTCTTTTCCTTCATCAGCTGCTGGAAACAAAATGCCATAGTCGAGAGTTCCTTTCAGATACCTCAGTATCCTCTTCGCCGCTGCTAGGTGTGATACCTTTGGTTTCTGCATGAATCTACTTATCATACCAACACTGTATGCTAAGTCAGGCCTTGTGTGGCAAAGGTATCTAAGTGACCCAATAAGTCTTCTGTATTGGGTTGGGTCGACATCATCTTTATCTGAATCCTTCGACAGTTGCAATCTGGGCTCAGCTGGAGTCGAAGTTTGGTTGCAATCTTGCATCTCAAATCTCTTGAGTATCTCGCCTGCATATCTTCTTTGGTGCATCATCAAACCTCTACTTGTCTTGTAGAATTCGATGCCAAGGAAATATGAGAGATTTCCCAAGTCTGACATTTCAAACTCCTTACTCAGGTCATGTTTGAAATCTTCGATCTCCTTCTTGGAACTCCCTATTATCAACAAATCATCAACATAGAGACATAGTATAAGCAATTCACCATTGCTTCTTCTTACATATACTCCATGCTCAGTTGTACACTTCACAAATTCCTTCTCCCTTAAGAAGCTGTCAATTTTCTTATTCCAAGCTCTTGGAGCTTGCTTAAGTCCATACAGGGCTTTATGAAGCCTGTACACCTTTCTTTCTTCGCCTCGTTTCACAAACCCAGCTGGTTGTGCAACATAAACTTCTTCTTCTAAGGGGCCATTAAGAAATGCACACTTCACGTCCATCTGACATGTGTGCCAGTTGTTATATTTGCTAGACCAACAACCAACCTGATTGTTTCGATTCTAGCAACAGGTGTGAATACTTCATCGAAGTCGATTCCTTCCTTCTGAAGAAATCCTTTCGCCACAAGTCTCGCTTTGTGTCGAGTTACTTCTCCTTTAGGATTTACCTTCACCTTGTAAACCCACCTCACATCAATTGCCTTCTTGCCTTGCGGCAATTTGACAAGTGACCAGGTATCATTGCCTTTGATGGACTCTAACTCTTCAATCATTGCTTTCACCAACTTCGAATCTTTCAATGTCTCAGCTGCATTGACTGGTTCGACATCTGCGTAGAAAGCATAACGTACCAGCTCACCCTCTTCATCGACTACATCATCTGATGTGATTACACATTCTTGCAACCTTGCAGGCATGTGTCTAGTTCGTCGAGGTCTGCTTGAACCTGCTTCATCTGCAACTGGTTCCTGTCGAACTTCTATTTCGACTTCAGTGGCTGCAGTTGCTAAACACTTGTGCTTCATCACATTGAGTCCAATCTTGAAGGTCCTATTCTGAGACATTGGAGCCTTCAAGATTAGTCTACCACCTGCGTCGAGGACTCTCATCATCTTGTCTTTGATAACTACCTTGTAGTTCTTTTTGACAAGCTGCCCTATACTGAGCAAATTACTCTTCATGCCTGGTATGTACAACACATTGAAAATTGTTGACCTTTTGCCATCTTTCCTCATAATCAGAACATCACCAACACCTTCAGCTGCTAGAGTGTTGTCATTTGCAAACTTCACCGTATTCTTCGACGAGGGCTTCATGTTGACAAACCAATCTTTCCTTCCAGTCATGTGTAATGAGCATCCTGAGTCCAAGTACCACTGATCTTGGAATCTTTCTTCATCGTTTGTTGTGACCATTAGCAACGTTTCTTCTTCTTCATGTTTCGCCAGCTTTGCATCAGTCTCTTGATTTCTCTTCTTTTCTGGACAATCACTAACATAATGACCATACTTCTGGCAATTGAAACATTGAATGTGGCTTTTGTCTGTCTTTCGATCACCACCTCTTCCTTTACCTGCAGCACCACCTCTTTGGTTGCCTTGGTTCCAAGGTTTCTTTTGATTCGACTGGTTTCCTCCTTTGTTGCCATTCCAACTACCTTTGCCTTTTCTCTCCTTTTCCGTCTGTGCCTGTAAAGCCATATCTTTCGACTTTCCTGCAGCTCTCTCAGCCATCCTCTGTTCATGAGACTCAAGAGTCCCTTAAAGCTCTTCCTTCGTCAACACTGACAGATCTTTCGACTCTTCTATGGCAACTACCACGTGGTCGAATTTTGGAGCCAACGATCTCAAAATCTTTGAGACAACTGCTTTCGTCGTCAGCGTTTCTCCACATACTTTGATTTGATTCACCAACCTTGTAACTCTGGTGAAGAAATCTGTAATGCTTTCGTTGTCTTCCATCTGAAGCAACTCATAGGTTCTCTTGTGAGTTTGTAACCTCACCTCTTTCACCTTCTCTGCGCCTCCAAACGACTTTTCAAGAATCTCCCATGCTTCTTTTACTGAATCAACATCACTAACCTTTTCAAAGTTATCAGGATCAACACACTGATGAATTATAAAGAGTGCTTTATAATCCTTCTTCTTCAATTCTTTGTGCGCAGCCTTTTCCGCCTCCGTTGCGTTCTCCACCAGCGATGTTACTCCGTCCTTCACAAGATCCCAAAGATCTTGATAACAGAAGATCACCTTAACCTGCTTGCACCAATTCTCATAATTGTCTTTCTTGAGAATTGGCAGGGTCGCCGGAAAGTTGCCGTTTGGATAGTTCATCGTCATCACTATCTTCCTTCCTTGAATCTCTTAACCGGAGCTCTAGATACCAGATGTTGGAAATTCACCTCACACCCTATGAAGAATTCCCTTCAATCTTGATCTCAAGATTGATGAACAAACCCACAATATGATAATGATGGTAATAACAAGTAATTATCAAGAACAACAAAAGAGAAGAAGAATAACAAACAAGAAAGAGAAGAATGAGAGAAGAAGTATTTGGAGAGAATGTGTTACCCACAACTGTGGAATTTCTTATTGAACTTTCACTTGCTAACTGCAACTGTGAAATCTGTTCTGTTGTGATGTAGAATACAAAGCAAGACACCCTATTTATAGTTTTAGGTTTACACTAGCACAAAACATAAAAGACCCAAAATATTCTAAATCAAATCTAATCATATGATATCAAATCTAATCATATGATATCAAATATACTCATATCATATCTAATCATATCACATCAAATTAATCATATGATATCAAATCTAATCATATGATATCAAATCTAATTATATCAAATCACAATGAATTATATTTAACAAGTAGTTGTTTCAGACAACTTAGGGGTTGCCAACCAAGTTTCGGAGCTGACAGTTTTGCTGACAGATGTGGTTCCGTCGCCGGACAGTGTGGATGGGTTTATTTGGTGGAAGAACAAGCATGGTTTTAGTGTTAATAGTAGCTATTCTTTTATATCTTCTTTAATCGGTTCAGACAAAGGTAGTTTTTTGAACAATACAACTCTTCTTAATTTGGAAATTGTCTGGAAATCTCATATTCCTAGTAACTTGTAGGTCTTTTGCTGGAGGTTTTACCAACTAAAAATCAACTTTTTAATCGGGGAATGTTATCAAGTAACCAGAATTTGAATTGCGCGCTTTGTGATTCAGGTATTGAAGACGATTCGCACCTCTTCTTAAATTGTAAGGTTGCTTTAAAAGTATGGTCAAAAGTGTTTAGATGGACCGATATTAAACACATTGAGAAGAATTCTTCAATACAATCTCACTTCGCTTCCTTTTGTGAATATTTCAAGTTAAATTTTCAAGTGAATCTCTTTGATATTTTCTAATTTGTTGGAACATTTGGCTATGTAGAAGTAATGTTATTTTTGAGGGAGGATTGTTAGAGGAGTGGGATACCTTTCTTAGAATTCAAAGGCAATTGTGTGAGTGACATCAAGTGTTTTTTCTAGGTTCAAATAGTATCGATTGGCAGGATTGAAAACTGAATATTAATAATTGCCGTTATTTCTATTTTTGTTAATATTCTGTTTTATTTTAAGGTTTCCGCCTTGTATCTGATTTTCTCCTTTTGTATTTTAGATTGAGTACCTTGTATACTCTTTTTAATATAATTGATTGCTTATCAAAAAAAAGGAAAAAAAAATTGGTTGCTTACTTTCCTGAGAGGAAAGAAAACATGTATAAAATAGTAAAAGAAATTTGTATGGAAAAAGCAAGTATATGGGTGCCTACTAACAAAATAGTAAAAGAAATCACTTCCAAAACAGAATTTAATGGATATATGGAAAGAATAGTGATTATATTTATACATTTATAATTTCTCAAGTTCAATAGACTATCATTATTATTTTTAGTTCTTCTGTATCATATCATATCACTCTCTTCATTTCTTTCTCAGTAGATGTTTGGATCTTTAAAATATATATATTTTTAAATAAAAGCATACTTCTACTATAATTATTTCTAAATTATTTTAAGAAAAAGTAATTAATTTGTCATTAATGATCTTATCATCTTAATCACATGAGCACTAGTTAACTCAATAGGAACTTTCTACCAATTCTCAAACTCAGCATGCATGAATATCGAAGAAGATTAATGTCTGTTATAAACCTTAAAAATGATATTTCGAACTTTCTTAATGAGAATAAAGAAGAGTACTAAATACATATTTAATTCTTTCATTCAATGCTATCCGAGAAAATTTCATACATTAATATGATAAACATAGTAATATTTTTAATTTCACTCATGCAAATTTTTGAAGTAAAGGTCCAATGCAAAAACAATAGAAGCTCAATAAAATGATATATTAGTCTATATTGCATGCAACATCATGGATAATAGTGATAATTAGTGGTGCCACTGTCCAATTCCACCGCCTCCGCCTCCACCTCCTCCGCCACCGCCACCGCCACCAAATCCACCACCAGCCCCTCCACCAAAACCACCACCTGCTCCTCCGCCAACACCTCCTCCAAAGCCACCACCTTTGCCAAATCCTCCACCGGCACCACCGCCAGAACCTCCACCGGCACCACCGCCCAAACCTCCACCTTTACCAAATCCTCCTCCAATGCCACTACCTGAGCCTCCCCCTGAACCACCACCTAAGCCTCCCCCTGAACCACCACCTAAACCTCCGCCTGAACCACCTCCAACACCTCCACCAAAACCTCCTCCTTTCCCAATTCCACCACCAATACCAGTGCCAGAACCACCTCCAACGCCACCACCTAAACCGCCACCTCCACCTGAACCACCACCTAAACCTCCACCTTTACCGATTCCACCTCCAATTCCGCCACCTTTTCCAAAGCCTCCACCACCACCAAGACCTCCACCTTTGCCAATTCCACCTCCTACACCACCACCTCCTCCAAGCCCTCCACCTTTGCCAATTCCACCTCCTACACCACCACCTTTTCCAAATCCTCCGCCACCACCAAGACCTCCACCTTTACCAATCCCACCTCCTACACCACCACCTTTTCCAAAACCTCCTCCACCACCAAGACCTCCACCTTTTCCAATTCCACCTCCAATGCCACCACCTTTTCCAAAGCCTCCTCCACCACCAAGACCTCCACCCTTGCCAATTCCACCTCCAATGCCACCACCTTTTCCAAAGCCTCCTCCACCACCAAGACCTCCACCCTTGCCAATGCCACCGCCCTTTCCAACACCACCCCCTAACCCTCCACCATGACCACCTCCTACCCCTCCACCTTTTCCAAAGCCACCACCCCCACCAAGTCCTCCACCATGACCACCTCCTACCCCTCCACCTTTTCCAAAGCCACCACCCCCACCAAGTCCTCCACCATGACCACCTCCTACCCCTCCACCTTTTCCAAAGCCACCACCCCCACCAAGTCCTCCACCTTTTCCTATCCCACCACCAATTCCTCCTCCTTTACCAATCCCACCTCCTATCCCATGCCCTCCACCGGCACCTCCACCAAACCCTCCTCCACCTCCAAGTCCACCGCCCCCACCTGCACCTCCACCAAAACCTCCTCCACCACCTGCACCACCCCCAAGTCCACCTCCTCCTCCAGCTCCACCTCCGAACCCACCACCTCCACCAGTTCCTCCTCCTCCACCAAATCCAACTCCAAATCCACCTCCCTTACCAAATCCTAAAAGGTTCTTCTCCTCTTCATTGTTTACATTTGCCACATTCCTTGCAACCACAATATTGGCCACAAAAACATGCACACAAAGCAATAACAATAAACCCGCTTTCTTGTTCCCTAGTAACATCTTTACTATATCGAATCACTCACACTCTCTTTGATCCTGTGTGGTTGGTATACTACATATTAACTAGCATGATGAGAGCCTTTTATAACCCCAGGAAGGATATATGTTCTACTATATTGACCCCTCCAACTCCTTAATTGCTTTCAACTACTAACAATAGTAGCTCATCGCATTTAATGCATGCACACTGTTTCTCCACAATTATTCACAGCGTTCGTTGCACCTGTTTTTCACACAAAAGGAGAAAAAGTTAAACTTCTAAACCTTTGTACACAACTTGATCAAACTGACACACTCTGACACTATAGTGACAATTCGAAATTCATCTCTTCTTGGTACCTCTCATCACGATTCACGACGAAACTTCTTTCTTTCATTTACCAAACTTGTATCTCTAAACAAGCCATAATTGTTAGAGAAATGTAACTTCAATGTCGGTGCTCTTTGTTTTCCATTCAATGTCATGTGTACTTAATGTGATATACACGACGGTGTGTTTCAACTATCAATGAAAAAGCATCTTGTACCTGTTTCTTTAATTTCTATCGATTAGTTGGTTAGATTGTATATTTCTCAAAGTTTAACATATAGATACACTTAGTTTAATTATGAACTGCCACTATAAGTATTCAAATTACATCGCATTATTAATATGTAGCTTGACACTAAAATTTGACATCATTTTCACTACTTTATTAATTAATAAACTATATAATATATTTAAATTATGAATTGTATCAACCAAATTTTACATTTTATTGATAATTTTATTTTACTATTTAATTTTTTTTCTAATATTTGAGAATTAATTAACTAAAATTTGAATCTATTAATCAACTTTTGACACCCATCAAATCTTTTTTTTTTTGTTTTGTTTTTCACAGTTAGATTTGTTATATATTGATTTGATTGGAAGAATTATTACTGGCGGTGCATGTTGAATTTTAAATCTCTAGTACTTTATTCGCTAGTTGCTATCACTTGTGGGCTTCTGGTTTTGACATTTGAAAAGTGTTTTCAGACAAGATTTTATGGGAACCAGATCATATGCATATGTTGTACTTATATATTGCTATAACTTTACTCACAACATCTTATCATGGACGTATTAAAATCAATTTAATCTAAAATTGGGTTAATCAGTTAGGCAACTATATATAGGAAAGTAGTAGTATTATAGGATAACATAATGGCCCCAACTCAGTGATACCTAAAAATTAAGTGTTATTATAGAGGTGTTCATCAAAGTTTAGAAAGAAAAGCTGTCACTTTAATTTTATCAACCATTGCATGTGCATGGTAGATGGAAAATTTATTGTTGATGAGTTTTGTTTTGTTTTCTTTCTTTAAATCTGAGGCTGGCATCCATATTCTAGCACGTTAATTAAGAGGAGGATAATGGAAAGAGAGGTCCAAATTATTAACTTCGCTTTCAATTTTTTAAGTTTTATATAGTTTATTAAAAATGTAAAATAATTTTACATTATTATCTAATAAAATTTTATTATTTAATTATATTATATTATTAATTTAAAAATATCAGTATGATTAGAGTGATTGAGTACATCTCCTATTTTTCTCATTTTATATATTATTGTAGAATTAACTAACCCTACTTTTTCTTGAAAATTTATGGATCTTATAAAATTTAATTTTATATACATTAGAATCAATTTGATTTTCTCAGTGTGTAAATCCTATAAAGAATTTAATTCCTAAAACTAGTTAAGAATAGTTTTTTTTAAACAACAAATAAAAGCTACTCCTTTCGTTTCATAATATATAATTCATTTAGAATAAAAAATATCTCAAAGTAAAATAATTCATCTTAATTTTTAATATACTTTTTCTAATTCTATCATTTAATTCATATTACTTTTATCATTCTTAATATTTAATAAGAGATATTTTTGCAAAAATATCATCTGTGTAAAATAATTAATTAGATTATAATAAATGAAATTGCACAAATATTAAAAAGAGTACAATAATAATAATGAGAAAAAAATACAATACTTATTCTAACTCATACATACAAGCCAATAAATAAGCACAAGATCCTATACCAAAAGAAACACTTTATTGGATTTAAAAACCACTCAAAAAAAAATAAATTAATTAAGATAAAGACACTAACTGTCAGCCACTTTCTCTTAAAAGAAAGAAGAGTAATGAACAACAAATAAGAAATTTGAATTGTCTTCCCCTTCTTTTAAGTTAAAAATACCAAATTCTCATTTATTTTCAAGCAAATATTAAAGTACACTATATTTTTTTTTAAAGAATCATTTTTGTTATAGAGCAACCATCTATCTAATAGACGGCAGTGTGCAAAAAAAAAAAAAAAGGTATTGCTCATTAAATGAGCGGCAGTGTTATAAATTTACAATACTGCCGCTTATTCAATAGACGACACTTTTTTTCTTATACATTGTCGATCATTTATTGGACAAAATCCATTTTATTTTATACACTGCTGCCCATTCAATGGGCGACACCTCTATAATGAGAATTTTTTTTATTTGAAATGATGGCATATTGGTATATATGATTGAAAACTATAGCATTATTATTTATTTCTAATAGTATGACAATGTTGTAAAAAATTCAACAAATAAATGTAAGACTAAAACACATTTTTGAACTCTTATTTTTAGATTAGAACAGGTCATCTAATTAATTTTTTTATGTTGGTCCTTTAATTCTATTACTCCCATTAATGACCCATTTGAAATAAAAGAATATTTAAAATGAATGGTATATTTTAATTTGACTTATTTAGTCTTGAAGTCCTTTAACTTAATTTCAATTTTCACTTTGCTCCCTTATATAAAAAATATTACAATGTAATCCCTTAACAATCATTCCGTTAAACAACTCGATTCATTCTGTTAGTTTTGTTGTGAAAACGTTAAGTATACTGATGTGGCATGCCAACAAGGATTGAAGTTCATTTGTGACTCATCATGCATATTGCATTTTATAAACCGTGTAACCTAATTTTATGTCCAATGCAATATTTTAACGTTAGGTTACTATTCATCATCTTCTTCCTCCTTCTTCATTCTTCCTCCTTCTTCGTTCATATGTGAACATGTCAATAAACTCCAATAACAAAGCGAAATCAAACACCCAAAGTTATGAGTCATTTGGATTTGTTGTTATAAGAAAGAAAAAGATGGAGTGTTGGTGTGAAGAAGAGTGTGTAATGCGTACTGTTACGGATTTGAATAGTGTCAATGTTGGGAAAAAGTTTTGGGGTTGTAGAAATTACAGAAATCAACTGGAGAATGGATGCAATTTTTTCAAGTGGGTAGGAGATGAAGTTGTTGGTGAAAGGGATTTGAAGATTGAAAGACAAAGAAAGAAAATATTCAAGTTGAAGAATGAAGTCTCGAGCACAAGAGGAATATTGAAAAATGCATTTTTATTTGGCATTATTAGTTTAGAGTTTAATATAGTTTTTGTAACAATGTATTTGAAATAGATTTTTGGGCAACAAAACATGTAATTTGATGTTATGAATGTAAGAATGTTTGATTTTGCTTAAATGAAATGGGTTGAATGTTATAAATTTTTGTTGAAAATTTAAGCATATCTGTTATGGTATGATATTGTTGGTCTGTAATGGTTATATGATAACATCTAGTTGAACAAAATATTGCTTTAACAAAAAATTTGATTTATAACTGCCCTGTTATGGATTTATGATAACATATAGTTGAACAAAATATTTCTTTAACAAAATGTTATAGATTATAACTGGTCTGTTATGGATCTATTGCTTTAACTGGTATGGTATGATATTGTTTTATAACTGGTCTATTATGCATTATAAAGAACAAGTTGATGAATCATGTAAATAACAAGTTAATATTGCATGTGTTTTTGACACTGGTACAGAAAAGGCAGTGATACAAAAAGGCAATATAATAACATGTGTTCTTTATAAAAGCATGTGTTTTTGTCACTGATACAAAATATGTTTCTTTATACAAAAAGGACAGTGATACAAAATATGTTTCTTTATAAAAACATGTGTTTCTGTCACTTATACAAAAAGGAAATATAATAGCATGTGTTCTTGACACTGGTACAGAAAGGGCAATGATACAAAAGGGTATTTGTTCTTTGCCACCAATACAACAAAGCCTAAGTTAGTGTTCACAAAAGCCTAAATAAAGTGTTCATATGATACTAAGTTACACAAACATGAAAAATCAAAAGTGGATCAAGTTGCTTCAAGTTGAGTTGATGCTGCATGACTTGCTTCAGGCTGACATGGTCCAGGAAGACTTGCATCAGGCTGAGTTGGACCAGACTGATTTGGTGCAGGTTGAGGGGTCTAACATTGACCTGGATGTTTGTAAGTTGCTTTGTTGTGCCCCATCATGTGGCATCTACTGCACTTGATGCCAAAATTAGCTCTTTTTAGCTGAGTGTCATCCCTTATGCTCTCTGAGGCATCTCTAGTCCTTTTCTTCTTTGGCCTCCCTGGTTACCTTTTGATTGGTGGTGGTTGTAACTCAACATAATCTTTTTTCTCCCAAAGTGATTCCCCATTGGTTGGAAATATGACATATGCATAGCATGCTTCATACATTTGTTTCTTGTAGCACTCAGGCACATAGCTTTCAATCTCTAATTTTTGAGATTTCATGCAAGATATAGCATGACAACATGGTAAACCTGCCAACATCCATTTTTTGCAAGAACACACCTTGGTTTACAGATTCAAAGTGTATTTTTCTCCATTATATGAGATGTATCTCACCTCATAGTCGTACTCTCCTGCACGCCTGTTAAATAGACAAGAACTCAGCCACACTAAATAATCAACAAATGTAAAACAAACATTTAGATGAATAAATACCTCACAGTCCAGCTGCTTATTTTTTCAAATTATTTTTCAATCTTTTTCTTGATATTTGGTAGAATATCACCTTCAAACTTGGCAATTTTGTGTCTGTTTGACTCCCATCTTTGCATGAGATATACTC